AGGCGGCTGGGAGAGGCGAAGGGGTAGCGAGGGAAGGCGGCTGGGAGAGGCGAAGGGGTAGCGAGGGAAGGCGGCTGGGAGAGGCGAAGGGGTAGAGAGGTGAGGCGAAAGAGAGAGGCGAAGAGCAGGAGAGGCAGAGCGACGGAGAGGGGAAAGCGGAGAAGAGGCAATTTGGAAAAGAAGGGACAGGTTGAGGAAGCAAGAAGGCAGAGAAGGCGAGCTGGCAGAGAGGGGAGAAGGCGGAGAGGGGCGAAGGGGTGAAGGGGCGAAGGGGTGGAGAGACGAAGGGGTGGAGGGGCGAAGGGGTGGAGAGGCGAAGGGGGAAGAGGCAAGGTGTGTGAGAACGGAGAAAAATGGGGAAGAGGCAATATGGCAGAGTGGGAGGCCGAGGAGGGCGAGGAGGGGGACAAAGGGCCGGAGAGGCGAGATGGCGGAAAGGGGAGACGGCAGAGTGGGGCACAGGGGTGGAGAGGCGATGCGGAGGAGAGGCAAGGTGGAGGAGATGAAGGCTGGGGTAAGAAGAGGTGCACGGCAGACAGAAGCAGCGTAGGATGGCGGGGAGAGACAGAAAGAACGCGGAAGGGGGAGGCATCCGGTGGGGCTCCGAGCAGGTGGGGTAGTCCGACGGCCAGTGCGTAGGTGCCCAGCGACAGCCGGCAACGCGGTGCGAAACCCGGGTGCAGCCAGCCCCTGGCAACGGGAGGCGGCCACAAGGGCCGGGGTAGGAGGTGCAGCGGACCGAGTGCCAGCCGCGTAGCGCGCCCGGTCGGCGGGGGGTGGGCGACGGCGGCCACGAAGGCGGTCGAGGCGGCAGGCAGTGGCGACGGCAGGCCACAGGCGGGCAGGGCCGTCCCGGCGGGAAGCTAGGCGCCCCCCGGTCAGCAGGAACGGTATCCGGGTAAAACGGTCCTGGGCGGAACCTCGACCACGGCGTTCGAGTCCCCGGGGGCGCTGCACTGCGCCGTCGGTGCCGTGAGTGCATCGGTGTCCAGCGGCGTCGCGCAGGCGGTGGTGATGCGAGGCCGTCCCGTGCCGGCCCTCGCCCCCACCCGAGGTCACCCCGGCCCACCCGTCCATGCGCCCTCGGTAGGGCGCCCAGACCGGCCGCGAGGTGGCGACGTACCGACTCGGGCACCCGAGGGCGTCGCTGCGCGGACGATCTAAGCGACGGTAAAGGGGACGTAGCTTGCAACTCTTGAGCGTGGAGCACGGTGGAGTACGGAGCCGGAGGGGGCTGAAACGGACCTGCGGGAGACTGGGAGGAAGCGATTAGGTATGAAAGTGAGTGCGCAGTAGCCAGGCGAAGAGAGCAAAGCAGAAGCAAGCAGAAGGAAGCTGGATGGGCATGCCTAACGGACCATCCTTGGCCTACGCGTTTGGAGTCTTGCAGAAGCGGGAACAGTGCACTGCCATGCATTAATTACTCTGGTCAGCCCCTGCCCACCCCCCCCAGGGAGAATCGCGCGGAGACATGCCTCCACGAGCCCACTGGCTAGTCCAGCAAGGCCCGCTCTCCCCACCCATAAATAATCATGCAGTAGATAATTTAAAAGTTACTTTACCATTTAGAACGCTTAGACCAGTCTTTAGGAGTCCAATCTTTTGTCCATTGCAGATTTATGCTGCTGTACCATATCCTCTGTTAATGTTATTATATATTGGCCTTTGTAATAATTGATTAAGTTCAAATTTTGGAGGGTCGAAATGACGTCTTCTTTTTTGATACTGGTCAGTTCACAAATTTCACTATGGAGAAAAGCAATTGAATTACAACCTGCAATTTACAAGTGTGACAGCAATAAAGTAGTTCACGACTTACTTGATTGTAATTTGCGCTTTTTCGTTGTCTCCAGTAGGCTTTATTGAAATTAAGATGTCCAATATAGTATTGGCCCAGTACGACCGATAAGACAACAGTCCCAAATCCGATAGAGGCTTTTCTGGTGATCCAGTTTTACCTTCAAATTTGGATAATTCATAACCTATGAAGAAAAATTCAGAGGTATTAGTGAAACTTCATAAAAAATAAACACAATTACAGCAAATACAACAATAAAATTAAAACTGCTTACTAAATTCTATGAGCAATTTTCCATATCCTTTCCTCTGATAAGGAGGCATGGTAAGTATACAAGCAACGTTGTAGTCTTCTGTTGATTCCTTCTCTTTGCTAAAATAACCAACAATATGGAATCCTCTACTATCCAGATCCGTCATCACATAGAAGAGAAAAGGGTCTGTGTCATAATAGAGGGTCTTGTGATCTAGAAATAACTTTGCCAAAAGACAAAGGTTCTGAAA